AGAAGGGAACAAAAGAGTCCAGGGGATTTGGGGAACGGGGGGGATTCTGGAAATGCACGGTGACTGGAATCAGCTGGAGTTGTGCTCCGCCGACCCAGATCAGCGATCACCTGGTTGAAAGCTAAAGATCCAGGCTTTTCTCCAGACAGTGAATGTACCATATGAACAGGTTCCACAGCGCTCTTTTGTGTAGAAGTTGTTACTGAGTTGTTACTGAGGGAACAACTTTTATACTAAAAAGTTGTTACCTCTAAAACACAAACGTTTAGCTTTGTCCAGTGCAGTAAGGAAGCACAGAAGCTGCAAGAAGGAAACTGTTCTGTATTTGTAGATTTTCACTCCTGAGCCAGTTTTGGAAAATACTTTTTATTTTTACTATAAACCAACACTTCAATTTATACACAAAGTTTAACAAAAATTATGTTTGCAATAAATATATGTTGTTGAGGTTCCAATATGTAGTGTGGTGTGACAAATTAATGTAATTAATATAGAATAAATGATTGTAAAAAAAAAAAAAATTGTCACATTCAATGGTCACTGAGCAGTTACCTAGCAACCCGAGCAGAGCTCCAGCACATTTGGTCAGTTGGGTTTATCGCTGTATATGTTGTACAATGGCTGCTGGAAAAGACAAGTGTTTTGTTATTGAATTACTATTCAGAAACAACTTGCTCCATTCTTGTTGGTCGTGCAGGAGGCTCTACTTCTGCTTTTCAAAGATGTACGGTTGTATTATTACGCATCTGTTTGCAGCCATTTTCACATGCGAGTGTAAATCTTGACTTGAGGCCAGAAGCAACTTATTTGGATTTAAAGTGACAAAAGGCCCTAAAATAGCTCATTCTAAAAGGAGCTCAAAATAACACTAAAGTGTCATTATCAAGAATGATAATGTATATAAAATGTCATTAAGATGTTCAGTTTAGCCCATTGACCTCTCCTAACCTGTTCAGGGAAGCATCATAGTTTTTAAAAAGGAACTTGCTAAAATCCACGTTGAATGTTCAGACCTTTACAAAATCAGTGACTGGAAATTGGCCTTTATCTCTCAGTGCATCTTTAGAAAAACTCATTTTCTTGTGTCTACTCGGGATAAAGATTTCATCCGAGCGCAGCAGATGTGAGAAGGAGGGGCAGCCTGGTCACCTGCAGGGAGAGGTGAGAAAGGCATCTAACAAAACAAACCTATTCAGCTGTTCTCACCAACACGATACACCTTACTCCTGTGGAAAAACAGCCCACCTGAGCGAGGAGAAAACGTGCCATCATGACCATATGGTGAAGGTCCTTATAAGGAGCAGGAGATGGCTGAGAGCCCATTGTCCTGTCCACTGAGGCATCAGCTGTGCCACATGGGCCCTCTCTGGAGGGAAAGAGAGGTCAGATGTGTTTGCTTCCGCAGATCTGTTATGTAATCAAGTGATCAAACCAAATGTGCTGATGACTGAGTGTTTTTCTTTTTTGCTTTTTTTTATTTCCCGATATGACGGCTGTCAGCTCTTAACGCGCCCGCTCCGGGTTTCTCAGGATAAGCTCAGGAACGGAAACAGATTCCTCTCAGGTAGCAGAGATTCAGAGCAGCTTTAGCAGATAAACTGTGAAATGAGAGAGAGCGCGTAATATGGAGCTGTCTGGATTATCCCGCTACGAAGGGTGCATTCCTCCACAAACTCACGGCTGAGACCTGTGGCACTTCACCCAACATTTCCTCCGTGAAACCTCTGAGTGCAATCAATGGTGATTATCGTTACGTCCGGCATCCTCAAAGGCTTGTCAGGCCGTGGTGTGGAAACATAAAAAGACATGCAATTTGGCAATCAAACCGCATGATCGAGCCAAGAGGGCTGTAATTGACAAATCAAAGGAAGGCTAAAATGCTGCATTTAAACTTATGCAAGAGAGTGAATTGGCTTCCGAGCCTATCAACTTACATTCCCTCCACATTAACCACGGCAATCTGGCCAACTAATTTAAACTGATACATCAAAGGCTTGCCATGTTGGGTGTATTCCAGACAAATTTCAAGGTCTCACAAATTTATCATTTGATGGAAACTGCCAACAAGTACCCACATTAATTTCAATATTTCTTCCCATCTGAATATAATCACACGACACAATCGTTTGATTGGGGTTGGGTATATTTCTGAGCTGAAGAAAAACTGCACACAAATGTAATAGAAAGAGACAAAAATAATGTTTCTGAATCTAATTACTGAAGGAAAAGACTCAGAGAATTTGCAACGAATAATCAGCTGGTCATTTCTCTAACGAAGAAAAGGTCAGAGCAGAGTTTACTGAGAGGAACTGAATCGATTTTAAAATTCTGGATTCACCAAGAATACAGGGGTCTGCATAGTTTTCCAGACTCATATTTCCAGAGTTTTCAGTCCCATCAGTCCATTTTGAAAGTATAAATGCAAGAATTCATTACAGCTGGTTGTTAGGCTGTAGCTCCTTCTTAATACTTATACTTAATACTGTAGTTTTCCAGACAGCATAGGAACTCTAAAGTGCATTTGACCATTCTTGTGGACCCGTCAGTAACTCCCTCGCTACACAAAATGTTGCACAGATTCATAGTCCAACCTAAAGTAGGTCCTGGACAGATAATAACTAAAGCTTTTTATGCTTATTTTTCCAAATTGAAAGCATAGATTATACATTCTCACTTCAGCTTATGTGATGAGATTGTGCTCTGGCTCAAGTCTTCTCTATTCCACTGAACCGGGTTGAGTGGAGGGTATGGTTTTAGCTTCTCATAATGACCATTTATTGGAGTATAATCCATAACTGAATCTAAATCCTCAGAGATTACAATAAGGCTACACGCAGAAATCTAAGCATCACCCTGGCATGTTTTCTGCCAATGGAATAAAAAAAGAAGCCAGTTCTCCAACTCGCTGCAATATTGTAATAAATGCGACAAAACTAAAAAATTATTTATTTGGAATTGATTATTCTATTGATTATTCTGACGATTAATCAAATAAAAAATTGCCACATTCCACAGATTTTTCAAAAATACATTAAAAAATGTAAATAAACCAGTTAAATTCCCTTTTAAATAAGAAAAAATATGTTTTATTACCTAAAATGCAATAACCAAGTTAAGCTATGCTACCTGTGAAGTTTTGTATAAAACATATTTACAAAAAAAGGTCTATACATCGTAACTATAGTTATAATATATTTATTGTAAATATATGCAAAATATATTGTTTTACTACAATTTTGGCCTATTTACTGTTCTAAATATGTTCTATTTTCAGAAAATGACCTTTTTTGAGTCTGTATACTACAGTTAAAAATTAATCAAGTACTAAATTAGCACATGATTGTTTTAATAATTAATTAATTGTTTCAGTCCAGAATAAAACTGCATTGAAAGTGGTCAAAATGCATCCTTCTTCTCTTACAGTAAATAGGAGATTGCTGGTGCAGTCTGAACTGAAAAGCTCCCTAATTTATGTCATAGCCTTGCTTTTTGCTGACAAACACACACACAGGCAAAGCACCACACATCTGGCACCGTCACAATTTCATCTACGTTTGCTCTCCTGCTGCACGCTCGCAGAAGTTACATCATGCTCCCATCACGAAAGAAGCAAATTCGACGTGGAAGACTGGAAGTGTTTCGGTTTGCATCAACTGGGACAAAAAAGTCAAATGGTCACACTGAGCCACCACCAACAATGCAACGTGGAAAATGACCGTGATCAGCATAAGGGCGATGTAAGGCCAACCACAAGGAGGAAAAAGAAGATGCACAACAAACGAATGCATCAGATACTCCTCACATGATGGAGTCAGCATGCAGGCGAAGCTGCATGGTGGGTAGATGACAATGCAGAGACTGTAACCTGTGTTCACGGTTGAGTGAGGGGAGAGGTGGCTGAACAGAGGCGAGAGGGAGGAGCACGGTTAGCGATCCTGCTCCCCTCAGACACCGGAGGCAAGAAGGGGGAGATTAGAAATCGTGCCATGTCAGGATTGGGAGCATGCTGGGCAGCGCTGGGGCAGGAGAACATGGGACGTCAGGGGAGGGCGGGGCTGCAGGGCACCATAATTGTGATATACATACACACACACGCACCATCGCGGCGGGTGGTTGATGGGTAAACAGGCAGGGAAGGGTGGTGGGAGGAAGGAGGGCGGCTGGGTTCTGCTGCTGAATACTGAACAGAGGATCAGGGACGCCACTGCATGTCAGTCAGGACCTAAAAATACTGCTCCATGTTACAGATGGCACCAAAAGTAAGCAGAGAAACGTTGAGATGATGCTTCCATTCAGAACTGGCTAAAGTATACTTTACAACGCTTTGAAAAAAAAGATTCTGGAAACTTTTTTGTATCTTCTCAAATAAAAATGTGAAAAATCAGCCTCAAAAATCACCGCATTAGTCAACAAAATCAAATACAAAATTTGTTTCTCAAAACAGACAACTCACTTAAGTAAAAAATTATTATAAACTGAAATGCAATTGACCACTCAGGAAAAAAAAAAAAAAACGATCAGGACAACAAACATTAGTGATCAAATGCCATTGTTTAAAGAAAACCATAAAAAGCTGCATTTAAGCCAAATCTGGAAGAAGGTGCTCTGATCAAATGAGATCTAAGTTAGACTTTTTGAAAAGCAATAATGCACGTTGCTCCACACACACCGTTCCCAACAGAAAACAGGGTGGTGGCAGCATCATGCTGTGGAGAGGCTTTTTTGCATGTGTTTGACAAAAAAATCCATAAAAATAAGTTAATTGTACAGATGTAAATTAGAAAGAAGAGATATTGTGAAATGAAGTAAAAATTAGCTTTGTAAATATGTAGAATGTGAGATACCTTCTCTTTAAAGGAAGAACTCCAAAAATCTTCAGAAATTGTAAAATTTACTCAAAAAGATAAGGAATACATTTACTTTGAGGTAAAAAAAAATAAACTAAAATCAATATACAGTAATGACAAAACCGTAGAACAGTTAAGTATGTATTTTCATACCTGCAGACTGTCAAAGTGAAGCATCCACAAGCTGCAGCTCCTACAAGGCTGCACATAAGGTTGACACTGTGAGCTGGAGACAACCAGGGCAGCAGATACATAGACAAACGGGCCAAGAGCGTGAAGACTGGATATCCTGGAGGATGAGCCACCTGAGAACAAGATGACAAAATCTTTCATCAAAACAGCTCAAGCTCAGTCAGATTATTAGAAAAGAAGACAAATTTCCAGAAAGAACAATTCCAGTTATAGCGGGCCAGATGTGGCCCACAGACCTTGAGTTTGACATATGTGGTCTATCACATCCATTGTGGTTTAATGTGACAAAATGTCAAGAACTTCAAGGGGTATGAATAGGTTATAAGGCACTGTATGTTGCATTAGCAAACCTTTATAGACAATGCAGTCATATACAACAGAAATAAAGAAAAACTAGCTTGGTATGATGGCTGCTGACTTTGCTACTACAGCGCACATCTCCTCCTGCTTCTTCTGGCCTCTTCCCAAGGACAACACATCTCCCCTGGGCCCGTGATGAAGCACGTGGTGCTCAACAGCCTCAGCCCCCGAGCCACCTAAGAGCCGCAGTCGCTCTCGCCTGGGGGATCTCGGCAATCACAGCAATTAGCCGCTAAGTCTCCTCCACCCAGATAAAGGCTCAGTCATTAAACACAGGCTCATTCCCTGGCACTGATAACACGAGCCGTGCAGGCAGGGAGAAGGGACAGCTCCTCACAAATGAGCACAGAGCTGAAAGGTGAAAAAGTGACTGCTGCCACAGTCACCTCAAACAAGGAGAAGTCTTGGTGGGTAATTTCAGCTGTGAAAAAGGGAATAAATCTGAGTGAACATGAAAAGACGGCACAGACTTGAAGATGCATCTAAAGAAATAAAAGAAGGTCTAATGAGGGGTTGTTTGAAAGATGCAGGAAGAGCTAAACAACTGATCTAAGTGCAGAGACGTGCAGCTGAAGGCCACTGTTGGAGCAAATGGAAGCAGATCTCTGCAGCTCTGGGGACCATGAGAGGGGGGCTCTGGCAGCTTGGGGCAAAGGGACAGCCTGCGAGGCCCTGGGGAGGCCTGAACGGCAGACAGGCAGGCCACACGGACTGCAGCACTAACCGCAGGATTACTGGCATAGTGACACCGACACAGCCTCCCTAAAAGGATCACAGCGGCGTAATAAACTTTATTAAATAATAAAACTTATTATAACTGTTAACCCGATTTAGTTCATTCTTTGCGGCTTACACACACACACAAAAAAGAGGGGTGGATATAATAAGCCTTATACCGTACATAAGGCAAAGCCTACAAAAGCCATCGCCTTACCATTGACTTTAATTGGATTTGAAAAACGGGTTGCAAATTATAGCATTCTCTACTTGCAACTTAGTAAAATAAGTGTATAGAAAAGCAGGGGGAAAAACCTGTGGACTGAAAGTAAATTAATCTGCTTTCTGCCCATGCTTAATTAAACTTCCCTAATGCTTATAAGAGTTAATGAGTGAATTGATTAAACAATACGGCTAATACTTACCCCCAGCTCACATGCGGTGGTGATCAGCTCTCCTGTGGAAGGGAGAAGGGAAGGAAATTAATGTAAACCCAATAATTATTATTAAGAGACAAGTCTGCTCCCAAAGTTTTCCCAAATCAAATACTTGCACTGGGGTTTTGCATTAATTTGCCAGGATCAAAACCTGCAAATCTTCCCAGTGTGACATTTCCTAAGCGGCACGCTCATTCTCTTCATCTTCCGCGTCTCCCCTGATGCCACCCTCCCTTCTTCTGCACACACACACACGCAGATATAAACACACGCACAAACCATGAGACTCCCTCTCCAATGCCCTGTCACACAAAGACACACATATGCAGATCTGAGAATAATGCTTCCACTTCCATCCTCCCCGTGCATCAGGGTCCCTTCCCTTCTTCCTTTCTTTCACCGTTCAATGTGCCTCTCTGCCGCTCCCACACTCCCAGTGTCTTAGTGTCTCCTTTAGTCCGTTGGGCACAAACAGAAAAGGCTACGTCGGTGACAGTCACAGAATGAGGTAAGCTTTAAAAAAAAAAATAAGAGCCAGCTGCGCAGTTTTCTGACAAGCTCTGTGTGAGGCACCGCACAAAGTGAAAAGAAAACCCCTAAAAGCTATTTGAGGCAGCTTTAATGTATCTGGGCGCAAACCCATTTGTGCCAGAATACACCCAGAGCGTTTCAAATTATACTGATTTTTCACCCAATGTTTGCATCTCCCACTCATGGAAATTGAAATTTGGTTCAGATTAAATGACATTGATAAATGCTGGGGGGATCAAGATGGCTCCCTCTACTGGTGCTCCGGGGGAAGTCCTCTTCTCGTCACATTTATCCAGTGAAAGCATGCAGATGACGTTTACTCAAGATTTAGGAGTCAAACTAGTTTTCAAACTTACCAGAACACAGAAATGTAAAACCACAAACGTCAATGTATTATTATTGGAATTTTATGTGACAGACCAGCACTAAGTCGTCCATAACTGAGGTGGAAGGACAATTATACATGTTTTTTTTGGAGGGGTTAAATAAAAATTTGAAAAGTGTGGCGTGCATATGTATTCAGCATGTATAAGCAGACAGAAGTCACCTAGTTAGAAAATAAAGTCTGCCTGTGAGTAATGTTTAGCACAAAGGCTGTTTTGGCAGATCCTGAATCAACCACCCACTAACAAAACATGGTGGTGGCAGCGTCATGCTGTAGGAATGATTTTCTTTAGCAGAAAGGGAAGATGTTAAGAACTGAAGGGAACTAACATTGCAAACTGAACCTCATAAAATAAATACTGTTCTAAGAAAGGAAAATTATGCATCACCAGGGAAGGCTTCCTAAGAACAAGCTGCACAATTTTACAGTTTAACAGTAAAATATTTGCATTCATTCATATTTTGAAATGTAAACACATAATTTATTGTTGTTTTTATTAAACATTAGTGGAAAAAAGTAAAAAAAAAAGTCAGTTTTTTTAAATTTGGAAAAAAATATCAATTTGAGTTCTTCCTTTTTAATTACAGGAAGAATCAAAAACAATTATTTTCCTCACAAGAAAGATAGTAGTTGTGTATAATCTCTAAATCGGTGATTTAGACTCGTCTCCAGCTATTTGCCATGAAGAATGTGCAAAAATGTCAGTGTCTAGATGTCCATCAACACCTCTTCTGATTTTTATTTATGAAAAATATTCCAAACCATCCAGCATCTTCCTTTCACTTTGCAATGATTTAAAATCACACCAAACCACATTGGAGTTTGTGGTTGTAACAAGACACAATCAGAAAAAGTTCAAGGGGTAGAAATACTTTTTGAAAGGCGCCATAAAAACGTAAATGGTTATTTCAAATGCAAGCAGCTGTAAGAGTGTTTACATATCACAAATAAACATGTGCAGAGCAACAACATCGTCCACAACAGACCTCCATTTTAGAGCAGAATGGCTGAATTTCAGATGGCACTGGCTGCTTCACATATTTTGCAACCCTGTCGATACAGCGAATTACGATGCCTAAAATTCTGCCACACGAGGAGCCCAAACACTTATCAGTCTAATGGACCATGAAGTCAGAACTCCTCCACCTGCACGGCTTAAATGTTTTTACAGCTCAGTTTCACCTGGCATCAGCCGCCAGCTACCAGCCATCATTCCACATCACACTTTCTCATCCTTCATCAGTTTCTCAATTTCACTCATTTTCCCGCAGTAGTGGCACACTTTTACCCCATTCAGCACAGAAACTAGCACTAAGCCAAAACATTCATCTCAGTGCCACAGAGATGCGGTTCTGCAGCCCCAGTACTAAAAAGGGAAAATATTGACTCTACAGGGATGCAGCACGGGTGCCAAAAGTCTTTGTGATTGTGGAGCATGGGCACCCACATCAGTCTTCCCATAATCCCCATCATTTCCACACTTCACATTCCTAGACAACAGCGTACCCACGGGGCTGCGCTCAAGCCTCTCCAGGGCACATCACACCTAAAGAGATTAGGACACAGAGACGGAGACCTGGAGAATTCGGAAGGGTGTTCAGCTGGCACTATCAGAGCGGGCATCCTGCACCGTCCCTAAACACTGTGGAGAAGGGGCTGGCCGTTTTTTCAAAGACCCTGCTAGACAGCAGCACAACCAGCAGGGCTACTCAGCGCTCCAATTGCCCGCTCCTCTCCTCAGCTCTTTTTTATGTGGTCGAGCTTTCCTTATCCTTTCATTCTCGAGAAACGCTTTCCCTTCTGCAGCTGAGCAGTGCACACCTAACAAGTAGAGCCTTCACGCCTCCAAGTCCACATTTATAAGTTTGTAACCTTGCCATCACTCCTAAATAAATTAATTGTATGAGGCATTACCTCTAATAAAATGCATTTTAGGAATGGTAGAAAAAAAAAAAAAAAACTGGACTTTACCTTTACAACATCCTGAGTGAGATGTAACAGAGTTGCAAATTAAATAAATATATTACCATTACAGAATGTCTCTGTTGATATCACAGGTGTCATGTTTTAGCTGAAATATTTAGGTATAGTCACGGTAAATAGAAACTACATAATTTTTCAATTTTAGGATTTTACACATCAGGACATAGTAAAACTGATCTCACCTTAAGGTTTAAATCTAACCACAAGTGTGTAAAATACACAGCAATTTCTAAATTGTATGAAACAACAATTAACAAGACAAGACAAGCTGTGTATGAAAAAAACTAACTACATCCTTGCTACTTTTGTTGGATTTAAACCATAAACTAGCAATTATTCAGATACACTCAATTACACTCATCTTAATTTCACTAACCACCTGTAGGAAAGCAGGAGATTTGACACTTGGTCATTTTCTGCAGCAACACAATGCAAATGAGGAACGACACTAGCAATGACCCAAGAGATGCAACAGTTTCTGCACCAACCAAAGAGAAATCACAGAAAACTCAAGTACTCTGTGTCAGGCTGTACAGTTAGCATGTAAAATGCTGAAGTTCATGCAAAAAACAAAAAACAAACAAAAAAAAACAACTGATTTTTATTAAAGATCATGGGATGAAGCCACTTCCCTCTAAAAACAATATGGCAGCATGATGTCTGGTCTGCATCTGATCAAAACTCCATCCATCCATCCATCCATCCATCCATCCATTTTCTATACACCCTTGTCCCTAGAGGGGTCAGGAGGGTTGGGCTGGTGCCTATCTCCAGCTAATGTTCTGGGTGAGAGGCGGGGTTCACCCTGGACAGGTCGCCAGTCTGTCACAGGGCAACACAGAGACAGACAGGACAAACAACCATGCATACACACATTCACACCTAGGGACAATTTGGAGAGGTTAATTAACCTGACAGTCATGTTTTTGGACTGTGGGGGGAAGCCAGAGAACCTGGAGAGAACCCACCATGCACAGGGAGAACATGTAAACTCTATGCAGAAAGACCCCGGGCCGGGCTTTTATTTTGTTTACCACTAAATATCAACATATTGACTAAATGTTTTCTGTTGAATGACCATTTTATAACTTCTTACATTGTTTTACAATCAGCAATTGTTTTGACCTTTTGGTCACAATTTTCAAATGACCAAAAGGTCACTTGAAAAAGTACATTTTGTTTCACTGTAAACAAAATGTACTTTTCTAAACAGTACATTTAAACAGTGCAGCTGCCTTATATTTTGAACCATTAAACTATTTGCTTTGATATACAACTCTTAAACATTTCACATACACCCCTTTTAATATAACATAATGCTGTAAAATCTGAAAGAGAATTTTATTGTATTTTAATAACAGCACTTTAATTTTTCAAATGTAATTATCAGACATAAATAAAACGATTTTAACACTTTATTTAAGTTTTTATCTATAAAAAAATTGTATCAGTAGCATACTGGGAAACTGGCCTTTTCTGTATAACTGTACATTAACAAGTTTAGTTTAGAGAGCTTTATGATAGACCTATTATTTGAATGAATGTACCTGCAGCACCATGGACAGCACCATCTCAACAAGGCGCAGCTCTATTGGCTGCCCCTGGTGAACAACAACAAAGCCACGTGACCTCAGCAGCACGAGTTAGCCTGGTAGCACCAACCTGAGTCTCCTCCGGGTACAGTCCTCTGCACGCAGGGTACATACACTGCCGCTACGAAGGCGACCGTAGTCCCGGTCAGTATCCAGCCACCCTTCTGTTCCGCAAACATTTTTATGCGCTGTAAAATCCAGGAAGATGTCAGCCGTGTGTTGCTTAGCTAGCAAGTAACACTTAGCATGCCTCCACATTTAGAGCCAAGCATTTTAGACTGAACTCTGAGCTATTTCCTGTTGTTAACTACACAACCACACACGGACAACGTGTACCTAAGTTTATATTTTGTCTACATACATGGCTTTCGTCTTAAATGCATGATAATTAGCAAAGTTGAGGCGTTTTTGTTGCCTTGGATATAGCATCCGGGGGCTACACACGCCGTCTAGAAAACCTCGCGATATTACCGAACGGGAAGTAGTGAAAGGAAAAGTTATCAGAAAATCTGGAGATATAATCCTATCAGTGTTCGTGTGGCTCAAGAGACAGAAACAGCTGCTGTTACTGACTTTACTTCCACTCACATGGAGAAAAACGGTCAATTCATGATCTGTGTTTATTTATGTTTACTTATTCGACGGTCTTTATACGAGACTCCAGAAGCAAAATAATTTTTCATGTGTTTAATGCAGTGCATAGATATTTGAAAGATGCCTCATCTGCAATGTTAAAGTTATATTTATCGTTTTATTTGTTTCAAAAACACATCTGGCATTTTTAAATCCACACTTAAAGGCATCTATACAAAACATTGTTGCTTAGTCTGAGCCAAAAATTACCTATTTATTTTTCAAAAAAGGTTAATTTCCACACATGTGCTCTTTAGGTTTATCATAGGGACATTTATGTATATTGAGTTCCCATTTGCACTCCTCATCAGTATCTTAGAGTAATTATGCATGCAACACACAACTACCAGAATTTGGTACCCATGTTTGTGTTCATTGTGCGATGTCTAATGCACGCAGAGCCTATGTTATGCGTACATACATTAAGCTCCAAGTCCTATAGCAAGTTGATTGTTGGCATTGTTAGTGTGCTTTTTCAAGTTTTGATACTGTTTGGGCATGTTTGTCAGACTATCCAAGTGTCCAATTTTCAACCAGCAAGCTGTTGATTCTAGGTCAAATTTTAGAAGGTAGCCCTCTATTGTCTTTGTTCAATCAAGTCTGAGCAATGCACTTGTATCTCTGACAGTAAAACAGGCCTATAACTAAAAGGTTTCTTCAGCAGGGCTGTAAAGTGAGCTTAACAAAAGTATGGACTGAGAAGTTGCAGACAGAGTTAGAGATGAATGGCTGCTCCAAAATTGACAACTTTAAGCATAACTATTTGCAGGGCAAGTCAAATATTTAATGAGGATTAATTTGATGAAGCAAAGATTTGACGTAATTGGCCACAATAGCAAAAATAATGTTTTTAAGGAGTTATTGTGAGACTTTAAAACAAAAGAACATCATATTAACTGTGAAGTATGATAGTGGTAGCATCTTGCCAAGTTTCTCTATAACTTGCAAAGGATCATTTGCCCATTTATTAGAGTTGATGTGTGTATATATTTGAGCCTGCGCCGGTAATTTAGATGCTGTGTGGTTTTGGGAAATTTCTCTAAAAAAATTCAAACATTTTCACAAAATTCTTGTATTTAAAAATTCATTGAAGTTGTTTCTGAAATATAAATCCAGCCTAAAAACCAAAAATTCAGATTTCTCATTAATAAACCAAAATAAATGCAATATATGCGCGTACATGAGGAATCTATTCAAACATTTGACCAACACAGTATCACTGAAACATTTTGGTTAGTTTTACGTATTCAACAGCATTTCTTGACCCACAAACTGCTTAAGAAACAAACATCACATATATTTAAATTTAACTCCATACATTTATTGCAGCGTTTTAAAATCTCACTTTTTTTTTTTTTACTTTATTAAAGCTGCATCTTATTACAGTTACTCATTTTCTTTGACGCTACACCTGAAATGAGATACTCAGTCTCATAAGTGTCTCACAAGCGCCCATATTTCAGAGGTCAAGAGGTGACTGTACGTAAGAAATTGGCCTATTGAACTGATAATAATCCCGGCTCACCATAAATGAGTCTGATCCCCCAGTATGTTGAGCTCTCGATGAGGTGGAGTGGTGTCAGCACCTAACTAACTCTCCGATGGTTCTCTAATCCTCCTCTTCCTCTCGCCGCCACCCTCACTGTCTAATCAGCCTCCGACACGCACACATACACACACACACAGGCAATGCTCACATCCATCTGACACGCAGAAACCAAAGCACTCACCCTTCCTCAGACGGGGGGTTCGGTGATGGCTCAGCCCTCTCTTCAGTGTGATGTCACTGCTAATCCACGCTCGGTTATCCGCTGGGCTGCAGCAGCGGCGGCAGAGGCACGTCAGGCAGAGATGGGTGGGGAGGTTAATAAAGCACGTCATAAAGACTTCTATTTTCATTTCCTACATCATATGCATTAATGCTCAATAGAGGGCTAATATAGACACAAATGTGGAGTTCTGATAGCAGAGATAAAACACATTCATCGAGGCCTGTAGCTCCAGTTCAAGGCGCAGAGGAATCATTAGAGTCTGCTGGATTAAATCCACACACATTCCCCCCCTTGCATCCACAACATGCAAGGCCTTTTTTTTTTATTGATAGCTTGTCCAAAGAGAGGAATTACCCAAACAGTTGAAACTCTCATTCCATATGGCACCACACTATAACCATTAATAGCAACTGTGCTAAATTCATTATCTTTTCAGATTGTGTGCGAGGTGTATGATAATGTATGTGTGTGTTTGCATGGCAGTGTGTGTGATTAGAGAGTTGTAATGTTCCAGCTCTGGGGATTTATTGCATAAGATAAGAAAGGGCATTAATAGTAAATCGTGACGGTCCAGTGGAGCAAAACTGTCGGAGAGGAAATGCCGCCTTTGTCGAGACCTTTCTGCACTATCAACCAACACGTCGTTTTGTGATTTATTTATTTATTTATTTATTTATTTATTTATTTATTTATTTATTGCTAATGTTTCATAACAAACAGAAACAGCAGAGGGATGCATGAGCAAGTGGCTTACGAGGCAACCGAGTGAAATTCCATCTATTTGGTTCTGTATTTTCCCCTACTTACCCCATATCTGTTTTAATCTTACCTTAAGCATCCTTGAAATGAGGTGTAATCCAGTTAAGCCCTTTTGAATCTGCTTCAGAGCCATTTTACACCCATTCATCACCCCGCAAACATTCTCAGCTAAACACATGCTCTGGGTCCACGAGCCAAAATGTTCGTACTGGAGACACCAAAAGATTAAAACGCTGCACTATTTGTGAGTGCAAAAAGCCAACCAAACACTTTAAACCATGCAGCTGAGATTTGTCTCATTAGAAGGTGACGTTGAATAAGCACAACAATTACTCATCACCTACAGTATAGAAGGGTATTCTATAATGGATATGATTGGTGGGTACAAAAAAATTATGTAAATCCCAAATATTTGTGTTTCCAATTTCTAAATTTCAACCATGTGAGCTTTTTGAGGGCTAATTGATGCTCCTGCCTTCATTAAAAAGCAAAGTAGTAATACATTTTCGAAAAACTGAGTTTGGAAGATGTTTGAACGTCTTACAGAGCAGTGTTCAGTCTGGTATCTGAAAATTTAAAGTATTTGACACAACTGCAAACCTACCGAGACATGGTCATCCACCATAGCTTACAGGCCGGGTAAGAAATAAATACACAGTGATACCTGGAGCGAAATCTGGAACAGGCTGCAAAACTCTTGAGGCTGGAGAGAAGGTACATCTTCCAGCAAGATAATAACCATAAACATACAGTCAGAGTTACAATTTAATGGTGCTGATCAAAGGATAAGCTTGTGTTAGAATGGCCTAGTCAAACTACAGACATAAATCCATCTGAGGATATGTGACAAGACTTAATATCGTGAACACTTTTCATCCAATCTGATTTTTGACAGAATTGTCAAAACCGTAAATACGCGGGTGCCCAAAGCAATTATACATTAAGTCGTGTTGTTCCTGAAGGGTGTGAATACTTTTCCGTAGAACAGGTGGCAAACATTGTTATATGTGTGTCTGCTTAGTGGTTACATTCACTGACTTGTGAAGGGTGTTACTGTTTCCTTAGTAATAAAGATTAAACATGAAAACTTTTGCAAGGTTCGATTTGTGTCAGTGCAAAGGACAAAATGGCTCCGTCATCTGCGGAGGACTTTTCAAATGTGTGCTTTTGAAAGAGTTAAAAAAAACAACAACAAAAAAACACACACACACGCACACACACCTAATCATTCTATTATTGTGGATAAAAAGGTCCACATAGTGAGGCCTTGAACCAGCGAATGAGACTTCAGACAGATTAATTCTCCTTTGTGATCCTGTTCTCATTACAGGAAGCTGGGGACTCAAACACACATAATAACAGGGCTGACTGCTGTTCCTTTGTAACATGTGGCTACCTAAATGATCCTAAATAAGATAGATGACAGGGATACGGCAATTCATAATCTGTGTTTTGCACAATGGAGTATAATAGTCTGTAGAGAACAAGGGACAACACACAGAGCTCACGTTTCCATGGCCCAGGGCAGCACACCTCGTCGAGAGCAATTAAAATGAGAGGATTCAATTTTGTCAAACACCAGGAACCTCAGATAAATCGTGTATCTCATTTTCCAGCGCGGGATACTCCCTCACATCGGCGCTATCATGTTTGTTACGGTGTTTTTTAAGACACAGCTGGCCACAGAGCTGGTGAAATCACCCCCTTTCGCCGTTTCCTGCTAATCCCAATCATTTCTGGGAGACCCGGTGGTGGAAAAACGTCAGAGTCCGAGTACGCGGCGACTCAACGGCGGCCTCAAACAGGAAATTTAGCCTGAGCAGAAAAGAGGAGGGGAGGGGGACAGAGCAAGACAGCACGTCGCTGCGTGGTTTCCATGTGGGAGAAATCCACTTACATTAACTGATAAAGATTTAATTAACACCAGACTCTGCAATTACTCCATAATTAAAGTCATTTGGCCCCTTGTTTGGATGAGTAGGCAAGACGCCACATGCACCTCTGTAAGAGCAGAAGACCAAAAACATGACATGAGGTGCTCAAAGAGGAACCGCTTTAATGTTTGAATTTAATGCTTGATTTTCCAAACCTCTGCTGCCCACCATATGTTCTGGTGATGTACTCGTTTCTAGTTATTTGTCTTTTATTCAGAAACTCATTTGTTATTCATTGAGATGTAATAAGCTGAGTGGCGAGAGTACAAAGCATCATCAAGAACCACATGAAATAGTAAATAAGTGTGATGTAATCATAATCCTCTTCAAACGGCACCGCATACAGCTTCTGATTGTCTTATTCTATAGCTAGAAAGAA